TCGCCATTCAAAATCTTTGGATCCAATAACGACACTCGGTTCACATACGATGCTGCAGATTCATAATCCTTCATATACATAGCCTGGTGAACTCCAGTGATGCATTGTTTAAGTTCTTGTACCGCCTCGACTTGTTTGATTGATTGTTGAAATGGCGATGATCAGTGCGAGGACACATCTCTATTGTCGATTTATGGAGGTTAGCGCGAAAGTCAGTATGAAATTTTATTCAATAATATGCCGTCACGTTATAGGTGTTAAAAATGAAGATAATTATTTTTATCTATGATGAACTTAGTCGGAAATCGAAGAGATGAGGGCAAGTAACGGAACGGACGTTTCTTTGATAGAGAAAGATGCGGATAATTATGATCCAACAGAAATAACAAAAAGTAGTGGGTTGGTGAAACAAACAAAGTCACTGATGGCAGACTTCCTCGTCATGGAAGAATATTTTTTGAAGAAAGCTATTGAAAAGGTAACAACCATATTATGGTGTTACCATTTGAACACTTTATTGATTTTTCGCTAACGAAAATACATTTAAAACAGGCCATCAAAATCGACAAGTATGAGGAGGGGAACGTCGTATCAAGCTGTGTTGGGGATGTTTTCTATATCCTCAAGGAATGCCTTATTCGAGTGGTTTCAACATCCGATATCGAATGTTTAACGTCAGTTGTGAATTTGGCTAGTCAAAGCTTGGGAACCGACTATATTGCAGTTTTCCAAAAAAGGCTTTTGACTGCGTTTGCCACTACCGAGCAGAAAGATGCAAAAATCGGATATATGGTATATTAATGTTGTGTTTGTCGTTTTTAGCATGATTATGATGTTTATTTTGTCCAAAATTCAAGAATTAAAATGAAAATAAAAATATTTGAATCAATTCTTCTTAGATATTGCTTAATAATTTGGATGTAAGTAGCGAATACATGCAGCGACTTACGTCTGAGTTGTCAGCATTGCCGTCAATTAACGAGGATGATTCCGAAAAAGTTCAAAAGTGTTTTGATTGGCTAAACAACAACACCACAAACAAGTTCAAACAAATATTGGCGGTACGTATAATTTATGCGCTTGATTTTGATTTTAATTTTCTACCTAAATTCCATTTTTATTTATTATTATTATTATTATCTTTCCCTCAGAGTGGAATCGAACAGCTTTTTGCTCAAATGGTTAGGCCAAAAATTCGACCGATCTTACAAGAGGCATATAAGGATATCAAGTATGTACTTAGCGAAGATGAATATCACGAACAGGAGGCAAATGACGGATTTTCTAAACGATTTGTACATGGATTTGATTCTTTAATTCATGTCTACCAGGTTAATGTTTAAACGGTGTTTTGTCGTATGTTATATATCACGTCTTATATATTAGGTTTAGATGTCTTGATATTATAACAATTTTCATATCCGCATTATTTTGACATTTATGACTTGAAGTAGCTTTAATTACTTAGACCCCCTTTTTTGAACATAACTCATGACAGACGACTTTTTCCGAGAACAACTACAATCAAATCATGATGCATATATTAGATTTGGTAACTAATATGTGGGAGAAGACGGTGTTTGGGACTAAGTTTAATCAGGTACCTCATATTTTTCATACATTTTATTCACATGTTTAATATTAATTCATAATCTACCACTTTATGTCATATCTGGGTCTTATATTTAGCTGGGTGCTTTGAGATTTGATAAAGATCTACGAGCTGTGAACAATTATTTTTCGGCTAAAATGCAATGGCCCGTTAGGGATCGTTTTACCCGTTTGAATCAAATATCCACGCTGTTAAATTTAGAATCTGTAAGTCACTTTTTTTTTTTTTTAATTCGAATTTACTTTATCCTCCTAATCTTTTGCTTATTTCATTCGATGCATGCCATTCGTGATTTCTGATCTTCCCACGCAGCTATCAGAAATTTACGATTATTGGGGTAGCACTACAAAGTCTTCAAACCCCATCACATGGCGATTAACTGTCACCGAAGCAAAGAAGGTTGTTGGACTGAGGTATTTATTTGACTCTGATGAGCATCAATCTCCGGGAATAAATAAATTGTATTATTAACGAGCGATTTTTTACGTTTAAACTTAGAATCGATTTTAGTCCAGATGAAATTTCAAAATTGAAATTGTAAATTTTATTTAATTAATTTTTATATTTAGAATCAGGAGACCAATATAGGTGTGCCTTAATTCTTTAGTTAAATTATATAGACTGATTTATAATTTTATTTATTTATATTTGCCCATATATTTTTTTGATATGGGTTAATGGATAATTTTAGTAACAAAATGTTACGTGTCATTTTACTATTGCTGGTTGTGCTATTTCTTTTAGGTGATAGAATTTTGAACATTCCTTTCATTCGCAGAATTTAAATTTAAAAAATAGAATTACAAGCGCTATAATTAGTGGTTACATGCCTTGGCGCGAGAAAGGTTTGCAACGAATATATGATTGTTGCATAAAGAAAATATAGACATATATATTTCAAGCTAGTTGATCCGCATTAATGGAGTTTTGCCAACTTCCTCAAAGACCCTAAAAATGAAATACATCACACTATATATGAGAGATAGCGAATACATAAGTCGCAAAGTAATTTTCCATTACATGTTCAAGTACTTAATTTTATTATGATTGAGATACAAATATTTTGATTCTGACGGTATAAATTTTAACCCCGTATCCGTAATTGTAGGTACATAAATTAATGTAAAACATCAAAAGTAATGTATGATGATCAGTTTTTTAAAATTCCATACATTATAACAAAGTTTGCACGTAGAGTTAAGATTGATAAAGACGAGTGAGTTAGTTGATGATTTAATATACTGTATACGTTCAGTTTACGACTGTAAACAAATTATAGCGCATTGTCTCGGAAGCATTGCTGTTTGAGTAATTAAGTATATTTATTAATGGTAATTTGGTGTTTCCTTGTAAGGAATACCGATCGCATTGTATGTTTACTTTAAAAAATTACTGCGTTTCGCAATAGACCTCAGTTTGTGTAACTCATATAAACTGTGCGCGCATCCATAATCAGTAATTAAAAATCTTGTTATTTTCCTTTCCTCGATTGACCCTTTTTCTCTCCTAATAATGTCTTCAATAGATAAACTTCAGAAATGTTTGCAAGAACTTTCCGAATGTCGTCAAAATATTTTACAACTATCAAAAAATAGTCTCTTTCAAGATAACGGCGAAGCGCTACGATACTGCGAGGATATTGAACAGATAGTTTTTAATGACGTTGATACCAAAGAACTAGGTATTTCCGATTATTATTTTTTTCTTTTCTTAATTTATGGATTCATCTGTTGTGTTTTCCGATTCTATTCTTCAATTTCAGATCCATTGTCACTTGATCATTTTTTGAATAGAGACTAATTTGTATTTTTGATCTTGATTTTATTTATCGAGGCCTCGCGTCAAAATTTTTATTCGATCCCAACATTGGGATAATTAGATTCTTGATGGAATTGATCAATGTGACTGACAAAACTCTCGAAAAAGCAAAGATTGCGCTATTTGAATTTCTGTTTCTTTATATCGAGAGAGTCAAAGCAGACATCGAATCATACTCTGTCAACATAAAGGTTCATAATATTCTTCTTTATTACGTAAAAAATTCTTGTAATTTGAAAATGATCAAAAAAAAAAGGAAAGAAACAAATAAAATATCATGTAATAAAATTTGTTGTATCGTTTGTCTTATTGGATCTACTCAATAGGAGGCATGCTTGTCTATTCTTCAATTTGATGATGAAGCTTTGGTTCGAGCTGCATCCTTCAAGCCAATGATGGCAATGTTTGATTCTAGTGTTCCCATTATTGATCCTGAAAAAATGCACATACAAGATGTCCTGAAGAGGTAATGACTTTGGATGTCTTTGAAATTGTGTCGTGTTCTTATTTAATAATTAACAAATTTCGTATTAGATATCTTGATTGCGTGTTTGTAAAGAGCAAGATACAATCGAGTACAAAAGGTCATTAATTCTTAATGATGTCAAGCATTTAGTTTGAACAAGGAGTCAATAACCGTTTTTGCATATTATAGTCATGGCCGGAGTTTTGACAATTATTGGAATAATTTCGCGAAGGTTTCCTGAGCAATCTGAGAAAGATCAGGATAAGATTCTTCGCGTGTTCATTCACATGTTGAAAGATAGAAATCATTCGAGCGCGGCGTTCAAAGGCCTACATTCTTTTTTGTACAGTTTCCCTGATGCTCCGCGAAAAGGTCTTTATCTCCACCGACGTGTGGTCTTTTGTTAGAGAATCGGATTTTTAGAATTGATCATATTTAAATCTATTTCAGCGGGTAACGAGGGGTACGTGTTTGAGTGCATTCAGCGAAGCATTGCCATGGTTGAAAATGAAACGCGATATGATATAGCAAAAAGTTTGTATCATCAATCCCACCTTTTGGCCTTTTAATATCCCGTCCCGTCATCACATTGTTATTATCGTTTTTTTAGCCGGTTTCGACTATATAATAAATCACCCCTCCATCTTTGGACGATATTATCTGCAACACTACGAGGAATTATGGACGAGTCTTTGGAAATGTCGCCAACACATAAATGTTGATGTCAGGCGTGCGGCCTTTAGGGCCATCGGCGAATTTCTGAAGACGGTATGATATCACGAATAGTTTAGGGACGTGCATTTTGCTCGGTTCGATGAGACTGATAATCCAAAAAAAAAAAAAAAAAAAAAAAAAAAAAAATTATTGAAAGATCGCGTCGATATTAAATGCTAGTCCGGTGGGCAGAAACGAGGAAAATTGCATCAATGTAAGCCAAACTTTGGAATCATCTTTTCTTAAAAAAAAAAAAAAGATCTTGAAGAAATTGCACTTTTTTTTTGTTTTTAGCATTTCATATCGATATTCGTCAACATATGGAAATCAAGCAATTCCAAGCAAGAGCAAAAGATGGAAAACGAAGAAAACGATCGGCGCTCGAAGGATCTTTCCATCGCGGTTCGTGGTGTTGGATATTTCGCGGCGCCAGCAAAAAAAATTATGGATGAAAATAGATTGCAACAATTATTTCACGATTTGCTAAGACCAAACACTTGGGTCGTCTCAGGGTACTAAGAATCAAATTTTATTCTTGACTTGAAATTTCAAACCGTGATTATTCCGATGACATTGTCCATAACGCACGATTGTTCCAACAGCGATAATGAGACTCTGGCAAACGTCTCGCAGATTCCGCTGTTCATAGAAGCTTATTGTTATATTGGCAAGGAATTCGATGTCATCTTTGAAGGATTGTTGGAAACCATTGAACGGGAAGTGGGAATAATGTTGATCCATTATCCCCGATTGACTCCTGATTTACGCCTTCGCAGCGCAAATGTGTTTGAGCAGTTGTTGTGGATGTTGTACGACAAGGGATCCGGCTTTCTCCAGAAATTCACCTCCAAGATATGTGGGTAACAAATGGTTGTTCTGTCGGGACTTGCTATCTGATTATAATTATTTATTCATTTGAAAAGAATTCCTTTTCCTTTATGCAGTTTATCAAGCATTGATTTTAACTTGCTCCGACGCAGTTCAGAGCCAAGAACGACCCGACTATCAAGGGCAAAATATCTCCAATGTTATCAACACCGTTGCCGATCACACGTATCAAGAAATGTTTGATTTCTGGGATCACATATTCAACGATTCCACCTTGACATGGGTTAATCAGCAGAGTGGGCATTCGAGTGGAAACCTAAAAGATGGAGAAGCTGCCAAAGCCTTCTTCTCCATTATTTATGATGAATTTTTTTTGACCGTATTTCGAATGATCCAGGCGCTCAACTTTAAAGTGATTGATGTTGCGGCAGAGGATTCAAGTAGCACGATGATCTCGGAAACCGAGACAACTCACGAAACTGTCGACTCCAACCTAATAGCAATTGCTGGATCCGGTGATCTGGAGAATTTACAACCCATGGTTTCCAAGGATTTTGTTATATTTCAGAATCTCGTGGACTTTTGGCAGTTGTTTTTGCCCCGGATTAAGCGAGAATTATTTTCGAGATGGGTTTACCTGTCAGCATACGATTTGATTTCATTCTCTACTCAGTACCCTTACGTCAGCGGTTTTTACAAAATGCTGGAGTCCTGTTTGAAAGTGTGCGAAAATATTCAATTCTTCAACGGCATCAAAAAGTCAGGCGACGAGGTAATTTTAAAACAAGTTCATCAGTTTTCGTACGATAGTATGCTTTTAGCTAATCATGCTTTTACAGTCTATCATGGAAAGCGACTTTTGCGACCAATTGTTGCCTTCCGCGACGGCAACACAACGCGCAAGTTATTATCTTTACGCGAAATTTCTCAAGGAAGTTTGTGCACGATTGGGTCAATATAAAGATGATTTGTTGACATCGTGCCTTCGTCTTGTTCTCTCGGTTCCCAAGGAGCTTTTATGTATTGACGATCTCATATCTCCGATATGCATTGTCTTAAAGTTGGGTCAAAGCCACCAGCCGCTTGCCAACATCGGTCTTGACGCGATTGAAAAGATCGTAGATTTAAAAGGACCTCGAGATTTGAGTAAATGGCTTGAGAAGGTCCTACCCTTTTTCAACGAATATTTGCTAGTTAAATCTGACATGATGGACAATTCTCTGAAAGAGATTGCACAGTTTCGGGAGAACGCTCAAAGAAATAGGAGGACTCTAAAATCATTGGAAAAGGCACGAAAGCAGAAAATAAGAGAGTCCGGAATAATAAAGTCTGCAAAAACAATAGTAGGCGTGCGTAAACCGTTTATTATGAATTAAATTCCTTTTTAGGGTCTTTCTATTTTTATTTTAAGCAACCGCACTTTGGAACTATTAGGTCGGACAGCTTGAAAAAAATGTGGGATTGCATGATTTGCAAGTTCGTGTTCTTCGAATACTCGGCAGACTTGGTGGTGTTAGCAAGTTAATTTTCGAGGATACAGTTAATGACAACGCAGCACATGAGTCGAGCCTGCATTCCAGATCACCTGAGGTTAAGAGCAGAGGTTTCACAAATAATCTTCTTGCCTGGGATCCAGAGAGACGGTTAACCTTTTCTATTCCATATCCTGATAGCAAAGTTGATATTTTGTTTGGTATATATCGTGGAAACAAATTATTGTTGCTTTTACAATAATTACATTAATCTTATAGCTTTATTGCGATCTGGATTCATAGATGAATTTCTTCCGCGCATCGTTGAACTGGCCGAATCGGCTCCTGACAGAAAAACAAAGATAGTCGCTTGTGAGCTCTTGCATTCTATAATGTTACTCATGATAGGTCGGAGCGCACTGCATGTTCGCAGCACTAGAGGCCCTCAGGAGGTCACTATTAACTTTTTCAAACAATTTTCATTCCTAATTCGTTAACTTATATATATACTATTGTTGTTTTCAGGGTCCGTTTCATAAAACATACCTTCGCGTCTTTCCCGCTCTTTTGCGTTTGGCGATTGACACCGACCAGGTTCCGAGAAAATTGTTCCAAAGACTCGTTTCTCAGTTGATACATTGGTTCACCAATAATGCGCAATACGAGAACCCGGAGACCATCGCTCTGCTGAAATGCTTCCTTGAAGCTATATGTGACTCCTGGAGTTCATTGAGAGATTATGGAGCCAAATGTTTAAATGAATTTTTATTATGGTCGATTAAACAGTCCTCAGAACGGGTATGGTGCATTATTTATTAGTGTAGAGAAATTCTCTATGCATCATCATTCTATTTATTTATTATTTTATGATGCACAGCAAATAGAGGGAAATCCGATGAATATGAAATCATTATTTAAGCGTTTGTATGATTTTTCTGCCCATCCTGACTATGCAAAACGACTGGGATCTTCTTTGGCAGTTAATCACATCTACAGAGTTTTTCGCGAAGAGAGGCACTTGGTTGATCAATTCACTTTCGAGCTTTTGTACTGGATGTTATTTAACTTACGGTTATCTGAACAGGATCAAGATGCCACGGGTAAATTAATGTGTACACTCATATTCGTGAACTTATCTTTTTTTTTTTATCATTATTCAATGAGATCCTTTGAATCTACTTTAGGCACCAAACAACAAGCAATAACAGCAATTCGTCATCTGAAAAAAATAATCAAAGCAAAATACCACCTGTTTATAAAGGAGGAAAAAAATAGGCGAAAATTTCCCGGTCTCGCCAGAGCGGATTTGTCATCTTTGGTGGATTGGCTTTTTGTGGAAACAAGTCGAAGGGAAAGCGACTATGCCAACATGTGTCGAGAATTGTTTGTCGAGTTTATTGGCCTTCTCTCAGGTCGTTACTTGCTTCATACTTGACTTTTTTTTTTTAAAAAAAAAAAAAAAAAAAAAAAAAAAAAAAAAAAATTAATTAAAAGGAAAGTCAAACTTATAATTCAGATTTTAGTAGCGGCTCTCATTGGATCATCGAGAAAATTTCCGTGAAGCCCTCCTTTTTGTCGGAACTCTACAGGATCTCTGCGCTATCGGCACCTTTTGTCAACGAAAGAAGCGCGAATTTACTTCAAATAAACGAATGGTGTATTCGATTCCTATGTATTCTGGAAAATTACACGTGGCTTATTAAGGAAAAATTCGTGACTCCGGAAATCTTGTTGCGAAATGAGATATCAGATTTCCGTGAGACGATAAATTATTTTTTGGATAAGATGGTTTTGACAGCTGATCTGGAACCTTTCCTCGATGTTATGGACGTTGATGATCATCAAGACGCCGGTGTCGTATCTGACCCCGAAAAAATCTTGACACCGGCAGAGCGATCGAAGTGGAAAAAGCTTCGAACCAGAATGATCGATCGCCTTATCGATTTTAATATCGCGCTTCTTGAAGTTTCAGTTGACAACGACCCCAACACTTGGAGTGCAACAGTTTACAACGTTTCTTTCTTCAAGACTTTGGCAAAATGTTTGTTCTACACCGAAAAATTAATATCGGATGGAAATACGCGTGACAATCTTTTAGGAAAGTTGCAAACTTTCTTGGCACTATTCAAGCATTCCAGCCAGTATCACTTGAATCAATGTCTCCGAGAAATAGCGGCTATTACGTTTTCAGAGGATGTTGATTTGCTGAATATTGAATTTGACAAGTCGGGTAGGATTTTTTAATAAACGTGTTATTGTGATTATAGCGCTGGATTAGTTTTGATCAAATAATTATTGTTTCAGATCCTACTCATTATCTTCATATGACCTCTGGATTCAAAATTCTCAATACTGCTGGCATTTTTCCGGATCTATTTAGGTACACTCCCTCCGATATGATTCAACATCCGACAATTTACGTCTACATTGCGGCTCTATGGGATAAGATGAAGTCTCTTCGAGATGTCAAGGATCCTCTTTGGATTGAGTTGCTAGATAACTTGCTCACATTTATGCTGAGTAGCAATTTTGATTCTCTTAATATTTGGCTTCTTCATGATTTACTAGTAATGTTCAATTTCATGTGTTCTCTTCTTCTTTCGTCGTTTTTCTTTTCTTTTTCTTTTTTTTTTTTTAATTGACAAATATCGAACATATAGGGTTTTCCGAGAAATTACTCGGTCTTGAGTTATCAGGATGGGTGCATGTATTACCAAAAATTCTTTTCCAGTGTATGTGAACCATGGTTTCTTCTTAACTTTCATATTTGTAGAATAAGGTTGCTGACATGATTATCATTTTGTCATTTTCAAAGATCAACAATCATATTTCTCGAACCTTTAAGGAGTATGCTGCTATCTTCTGCGAAGACATCACTAACCCCATTATCAAGGATATTTTGTTAGGGGTCATTGATTTCCTAATTCGCAGTAAAGATTTCAAGCAGGCGGAAAAGTTTTTGAAGGAAGTGAGTATAATGCGTATTCGACATATTATCCATTTCTTTAACAAATGTGCTAATATTTTTTTTTTTTTTAAAAAAAGTTTTCATCATCTGCATCCTTCCTCGATAAATTGTGGGTTTGCTTGGCTATTTTTCGTGGCTCTCGATAATATTCATTTATAAATTTTTTTCTTTACAGCGTGAAGGCTTACTCAAATGATCAGCGATTATTATTGAGACTTTTGAAGGCTCTCATCAAATTGAATCGTAACTTGTTAAAGCTTTCGCTACCGATCGAATTCAAAATTCTTTCTAGTGAATTGTTTGTCTCGTTCTTGAGGCGTGAGACGGAGCTTGCATTTAAATGCGAAGCGTACGATCTTTTGTCAGTCTTTTTGAAGTCAGAATTAAAAAAAGATGAGGTATCTTGATCGTTTACCTCATTTTTAAATTCATCCTTCAACACGTTTGTGACTTTTTTTTTTTTTTTTTTTTTTTAGATTGAAATGTGCATCACTGAAATGTTGAATTATCAATTTCCGCTTTTATCTTCTGAATATTCTCTCGAGGGTTCCCAAAAGTAATCTTTGGGATCTATTCTGCATTGTGATTAACTTGGCTAAAAAATTGCAATGTTTTTGATTTTTCACCGGATTTCCGTTTTTTAGGTTGAATGAATACATCACGATCTTGAACAAGTTACTTGTAGCGATGGTGCAATCTAAAAGCGTTAACCTTTTTAAAATACTGGTACCCACATTTGTCCGAGAGACCGATCACGTCTACGGTGATGAATTTCAAAGGCAGCTAGGCGAATATGTTTCCCAGCTTCCTCGCACGAAATTTGTAGAAACGATGGACATTGCTTTTGGGCAAGTATATGGGACCTTGCTGCTTGGATCAAAATCTTTATCTTGCTTCGATACTCAATCATCTACCTTTTATTTGATCTTTCTATAGATATTTTCGGGACTCTAATTTTGCAAATTTTCATCGAAATATAATTCATTCAATTCTTACCCCCATATTGATGCAAGGATCAAAGATATTTGTGATCGATTTTTACACTAAGCACATCAAAGAACTAATTGACATTATCGAACGCGAAAGTCGAACTAGGACTGATCAGGAAAGAATCTTTGAGCTTGATGCGAAAGCGGGGGCCCTTGTTTTATTGCAAATATCCTTTTTTTTTTTTTTAATCACTTTTTTTCGCTCAAGATTATTCCTCGTTGAACCTCTTGGTGTCCTTGACTTTTTTTCTCTTATTCACATTCTTTATCTTCGTGTTACAGAAGACGATGTCTACTCTGAAAAAGGTGAAATTGTTAAAGCTTATTGTCAGGGTAGACAAGTGAAATCGAAAGAGTTGACGCGTAAAATAATGGAAATCTCTCACAGAATAAAGGCCAGAGGAGATGTGGTAATTGAATAAGTACAATGGTGAATTAACGTTGAACTTTGCATTGATTGATGATAATTTATTATTCAGAATGAATTTATGAGCAAAGAAATTAAAGAGGCCATGTTCCTTCTTCGATGTGCGGCATACAACGCGTTGGCGGCAGTAATAATACGCACTCAAACTAATCAACAATTTTATAAAACGTTTTTGTTCTCGGGCAATCCCTCAAATGGTGAACTTTTATGGGAAAATATTGTTGATCCGGAGGTAAGTTTTTTTTTTTCGATTGTTATCAGTTGTGAGCAACGAACGAATAAGTCTTATTTATACTCTTCAAACAACAGACCAAATTCTCATTTAGAGTCGAATTGGAGCAACCCTTTTTTAAAACTAAGGTCGATGACTTTCGGAATAAATCTGGAACTTCTTTTCAAGAAGTCGAGAGGTATTACGAAGAATTTAATGGAATTTTTTTTTTTTTTAAGAAAAATTAATAATCTGCATTATCTATACAGATCCAGCAGCTTAAAATACTTGGCATCCCAATATCTTTCGGACTCCAGTGTTACACAGGTGAAATATTATTAAAATTCTTTATCTTTGCTATTATTGTTAGCCGTCTCCTCATTATTCTCTTCTAATTTTTTTTCAAAAGAGTGTGGATTTATTTGATAATACAATAACCGGTGATCTTGATGAAAGTTTGAACGGCGATGATAGGGATCAAATGAGTATAGAAATAAACGTGCCTTCCGAGTTAGCGACGTGATATATCATAGCTTTAACCAATTGATGTAATAATTTTGTAATTCAATGATTTTAAACTTTGATTTCTTTCTTAACAGGCCAAATGCAAAGGAAAGCTCCAGGGAGTTTGAAGTTGACATCATTAATCTAAATCCTTGCATGAAAATGATAATAAAAGTTATCGAGCGGCTTCATTCGGACATCACTCCGCCCCCCTCCGAATTGGCTGAATCGATGCCAGGGTGGATGAACGAAATGTACAAGAAATTTTCACTCAAAGGTTTTACATTTCACATTTCTCCGTTTAATTGGTGTTGTTCACTTTAAGTAACATTTTCGTATTCAAAAAAAAAAAAAAAAAAGAAACACACATCAATATTAGACTTTTTATTGCCAAAATTATTATCAATTACCCGGAAGCATTTGAAAAATACGCTTCGTTCTGGATAAGACCTTTGATGAAATTGATAGTTGAGGGCGACTCTTTTGGTGAAGGGATTAACTACTTTATTCAGGTAATTAAGCATTCATCTTTACATTAAATTATCAAGTCAAGTAAATTGTTGATTTCTCTCTTTCTTTTCCTCTCTCTCTTTTATTCTATGTGTGAATTTGCAGGATTTATCGGCTGTGATTACCGTCTGGGGTTCGTTGATTAAATTGCAATCGTATGAAGACAAAGTGTTGATCTACGAGCTGCTGGTAAGCATCAATTAGAATTGCATATAACATTTTACCATGGTTATTTAGGTTATTTATTTGTTGTGCCTAGAACTTCCTGATGAAAAACGTTGTCTTTCGAAATAACCTTCAAACGATCAAAGGAATATTTGAGATTTGGGCCGAGTCCATCGTGGTTCCAACGGTAACATTTTCTATTTAACTTTTTATATGTTTTTCTGTTTACCGACACTGCCCTAATATTAAATGCAACTATTTTTAAAATACCATTCAGCGTGTAATTTATGATTATATCAACAGTACGAATGAAGATCACATTTTAGCCGGTTTGCAACTGTTAGGAATTGTGTTGGCACACGACAAACCTCCTTTTCAACAGGAAGTCGGAATTGATTTGGGTGACTTAACGGATGAGAAATTATATCGAAACCTCACGAAAAAACTGCGTCACACCAAATATACGATACGCGACCTTTGCGCGGAGGTTTCTGGTTTCTTTCGTGTTCGATGCGAGCGATAATATGCGAGATTTAATTTTGCTTCATCTTTCCATAGGTTTGTGGTATGACCCTTAAGCATCTCAGAAAGTATCATTGCTCAGATGATTTTATGTCTGTTCTCTTGGATCCAATATTGGAAACGGTATTTTAAAAATTTATAATCAAGCGAAAACAGAATTGCCGTTCGCTAATTTACGCATATTTTTTCATGATTAATAGGTAGCTGCCTTTTATCAAAATGTCATGAACAAACAGACCGATGCCAACGCGTTTCTCACATGCGTGCACCACATTGCGATGCACGATCCTCCAGTATCGGAAAAATTTCTTCGCTATGTTTTTAACCTACTACCGCGCCTTAACGCGGTCAATGATAAAAAGTTTTTGGCCTTGGAGCTTATCTCCTACTGTGCTGAAACTGAACCGGATTTGCTCACA